AAAGGGAAACGGGGACCAACTGAGAAAGAGAGAGAAATACACGATGACGGAGCGAGAGTGATTAAAGAAGGAAGAAAAGAGAGAGAGCGAGAAGCGAGGGTAGAGAAGAGAGGAAGAGGACGCGCTGGTGAACGCGTGCGTGCGTGCGTTGCACCTTATTCCCCAGTCCGATGAGTGAGCCTTGCCTCGGTTATTTCAGAGACATTAGTTTCGAGAAAGAGAAGAGAAGGAGAGAAGTTACCGAGAGAATGCGCGTGGCGAGAGAGATGATGCGTGCGTGAGTGCGTGCGTGCATGCGTGAGTGCGCGTGCATGTATGCTTAGTCGTCGAGAGAGTGTCATCGATCTATTTCGAGAGGAGGCTGGAATTTCTGGCCTTCGTGAGGGGTCAGTAGAAGAGAGAGAGAGAGAGAGATAGAGAGAAGAGCAGAGAATGGGGGAGAGCGTGAGAAAGGGAGAGAGAAAGAGGAAATCTCTCTCTCGCGTAGGGGGAGAGAAAGGAGGAGAGAAACGAGGAGAAAGAGACGACGCGACGATGGACGGATGGATGGGCGAACGGGTCGTTACCACACCTGCGCGCGCAGATCGCCGATCTGGACTGCCCGATGGTCAACGCACGAATGACCGCGTGCTCCTACGTCTTCCTCGTCCGAGCTACCCGAAGAAGGAGAAAGAGAAGGAGAGAAAGAGGGAAAATCTCGCAGTCGCGGCGAGGCTCGTCGCGATGCTCTGTTAAGGCGAGGGGACATCAGCTCATTCACGTAATGCCGCTTCCACTCGGTTAGTTTTTGGATAATAAAGTTAAAAGTGTTAATCGATCCTTCCCGCTCTTCACTTTATAATACATCGATTCATGTATTATGAGATATTTATCGTGTTGAGAGACAGAAAAAATTCACACAATCTCGAATAATGTACATATAATTTTCCCGATAACAAGGTTTTATTTTTGGTATTGTTGCTTTCGTGAAGAATGGTCCCGAGTTTTGGGAGTTTCCCAGGTGCGAGATGTGAGAAATGAGGTAGAACGAGGAACGCGGAGGGGGATGATGATTAATCATTTCCAGCACGATAAGTCCACTTTGCGAGGGAGTATTTGTACAGAGGCGGCAGCGAGTTATCGGCGAGTTATTGGAGTTTTCTCGACTGTAGCTCGCGCGTGTGTCGAGTGGGGTTACGTTAGAAGGGGAGGGGAGGGGGCGACGCGGTGGGGGAGTAAAGGGAAGGATGGCACGCGGGAGGAAGAGGCGGCAGATCTAACGATATGGTCGGGGGAAGGGGGG